GATAGATACAGTGAAAGCTCTATTAAATGGACGCTATATTAAGCGGAAAACTTTATTAACTGGACAGAAGCGCTTTTACCCATACATTGAGGAAATTTATTTGTATGAACATATTCAAAATTAAATCTCAAGTACAATTAATTGGATTCTTATACCGACAAAAATGTTTTCGCCTTTATTCGTAAATAAAATTTTCGCTGAATTGAATTGCTTATTATAACAATAATAGTATAAAATGTATACCACAGCAACGCGTTGCCGAATCCACTGGTATTTTTATAAAATATACTCCCAGTACAGCACGTCGTATAAGCAACATTTAATTTACTTGAGGGTCTCAGTGTCAAATTTTTGAGAAATCGATTCGGTGTATTATCGGAGAGTATATATTATAATAAATATTCTCTCAAATTTTGAAATCGAAATTCAAATTATTATGGTCGCTACAGCGTTTCGGGTAGAAAGGGAACAGAGTGGAGAACATGGCGAATCCAATTTTTAAACACTTTTTCTCAGAATGGAGTTTATCAAAACGGTTTCCCCTCAAAAAGGAAGGGTTTTGAAAATATCTAGTTCCAATTTGGAGAGAACATTTTTAACGTCATTCGCTATCGCGCTATGGAAGCCTGTTTTTTTACTATTTTCTCCTGTAGAAAAGAGGGTAAAACCGCTGATATTTCATGATATATATTGTACAAGGGAAAGGTAACAATTTTTTAGACCACAAATTGAAAACAAAACGACTTGGGAAATGACGGAGAACCCATTTTACACCCCTCTAATAAGTATCTTTTTAAAATTAAAAGTAGTCTTTGCTATGAAAAATCTCCCACGAAGAGCACCCTATTCCGCTGGGAAAGATTTTTTTTTTTTTTAACAGTTAGTCGTAATATCTATAAAAGCACCAAGCCACAGACTCTGCTTATCGAAAAAATGAGATAGATACGAACACTTTTTACCATAAAATTGGGCCAACGACGTGTTGCGCGAAGCAGATCATATGCGCTTAGCTGTCAAATAAATCGTCGCTGTTTATTGCATAAAGAAAATACGCGCGCATAATAAGCGCACTCATAAATATAAAAACGGCAACAACAAGCACACGCTTGCGCCAAAAATAATAACAACACCATAAAAGGCGTCTAAACGAAATGCTTTAACGATAGACATGTGAATACGTGAAATATTGTGTAAATAACAACAACAACAAGGTCAGTCGGCAATATTGGAGTACCCACACGCCATGGTTTAGCATAAATACGCAAAATGTTACGTATACGCAGCGTAGACTCGGGCGTTACGCTGCAAATCCTCTTGAAGCGTGCGTTATCCACAATGGAATTATGAAATTTACGCACTTTGATACGCTGATAAGATGCGCCGGCTGTCTGCCCGTCTAACAGCCAACCCATTGATTGCTCACATGCGCTTTCGGCGGCATCATATAAGTGTGCGTGTGTGAGAGTTTACGTATGTATTGTAATTTGATTTAAATGAGTATTCAAGCACGTGTGCGAACACACACACATATACGCAGACAACGTCAAACACTCTCCTGCAACTTTATTTGCGCGAAAAAAACGCAAAATAAAAACAATATTTATACGTAATTCATTCAAAAAAGGAAATTTTTTCTTGCCTCTTAATGGGATTTGTCGTTGCCGCCGTCTGAGTTGTTGAAAAAGACCTCAATTGCAAATGAAGTTATTTCCATTTTATGGCGTAACGAGGGAACCCGCAATTTAGACACATTTAAATGGGATTTACTCACCCATATACACATGCCACATACATACCAACATGCATGCATGTTTTTAGTGTATTTGCTCTTATGCATTCGCCTGGGTTATTAACATCTCTTTTAAATGCACGATTCATGTGCATTTTTCATGCCAGACGGCAGTTAAGTGGAGCAAAAGTTGAATAAAGAAAAATAATAATAAATATAAAAAGTGGCTGCGAAAAAGGGAAAATTAGCATTCAGCATTTTTTGCATTTTAGAAAAATAACGCACGCGAAAAATGCCTGCAAGAAACACGTTTGAAAAATTTAAAATTAAAATTATTGTGGCTTAAGGTGGCACTAAAGCAATTGTGGTGCAACAAATTATGGCTATTATTTTCAAAAGTTCAAAGCTACAAATATAAATTTTATATCATATGTAATACAAGATCTCGATTTAGACGAATGCAAAGAAAATATTTATATTGGGTAGTCGAAAAAGTCTTTTCGTTGTTTGTTAATAGATGTTGTTGCAGTCGTATACCTCCATTGCTATCATTCAGCATACAAATGGTTCGCTCGCTTTTGTTCTAAAAATTTCGAAATTTTGATTTACATTGATGAAAGTGTTGCACTGATGGCATAATGTCTGTAGCGGGAAAATGACAGAAAGTGGTCTATCAAACCGGTACATATTTGATTATAATTTGAAGTTTGATTAGAAATATGAAACAACTTTTTCGACTACCCAATATTATTAAGATATTTTGTATGCCTAATTCCGTTGGTTTTCACTCGGCAAAATGGCGCAGACGAGGCAAAGACTGTATCAAGCGGAGAATAGGTATACCACCTGATCAAATTTGATCCAAGCTCTTCCATATAAGCTATGCGCGAAAACAAAAATTTATAAATATTTATTTCCTAGATTAGTATGATCTATTTTATGTTCATATGACACTTAATCTCCATATGTCAATTAGTTAAATTTGCCTACCACGAGAATATTTTTATTTTCACCAAGGAAAAGAGCTTAACAACGAGTTTGCTTGGAAACACGACAACGCTGAAAATGTTGCTGAAGTGCTTTGGGGAGTCTACCTTATCACGGGCACAAGTATTTGGGGGCATAAAACATGGTATAGTCATCAATAACTTGTCTCGTTCTAGTCATTTATTCCAAACATTCGGGTTAATGTAGTGTCTTCTTGTTGGAACAAGATGTTGTCAAGATCAACTTCATCCAATTTCGACCATAAAAAGTTTGTTTTCATCGATCTGTACCGCTTTCCATTAATAGTAACGGTGTCACCAGCTTCAATTCGAAAAAAATTCGAACCGATGATTCCGCCAGACAAAGCCCACACCAAACTGTCAATTGAGGTAGATGTAGTTATCGTTATTGAATAATTTATGGATTTTCTTCGCAATAGAAAAAAAATTTTGTTTATTTACCACACCACTCAGATGAAAGTAAGCCTCATCGGAGAAGATGATTTTTTTAAAACAGTCGTTATTGTTTTCAAGTTTTTCCAATGTAAGCCCAAATACCTTTTCAAAATTCTCCAGGTTGTGGTATAAGACAGCTCCAATTCTTGCGAACATCATGGAATAGGCACATTGAGGTCTTCAGCAACACTTGCCTGGATGGCAGCATTATTTTCATTACTTCGAGCGGCTCTTTGTTTTATTGTCATTTGAATATTATGTAAAGAAAGTGCACGATCGAAATCTTCAACAGTTCGACGAATAGCTAGCACAAGTGTACGCCATATAATTTCAAAAGCGCACGAAAACTTGAAATTGGAGAGTGATTATTTTGTTAATAAAATCGAATAATTTGTGAACATTGTTTTTTCGGATATCTTTGCATCCTCAAATTGTAAATAAATGCAATGAAACAATCTTGCTTATATTTTTCCATCATGAAATTTTAAATATTACAGCATACAATAAAAAATTATAGATCATGACATTTTAAAAATGGCCGAAATGGCATTTAGGATTGAATTCAAACCTATTGGAAAGCGTTGTATAATCAGCGCCTCTAAAAAAAATTTTATATCTGTTTGTTATGCGTTGATAACAGTTGAATGGAAGTAGAAGGAGATCGATGTATTTTTTTCCACTTATGGCTTCAAATTATATCATTCAACCTTCCGCAGCCATAACCCCACACATTCAAGTAAATGGGTTTCTAAATTTTTTTGTAAAACTAAGTCAAAGAAAATTTTATACTTTATTTGAATCGAAACTGAGTGGTTTATTTTCAATATTCTACGTTGTAAACTATTGTCCAGCAGTTGGATCGCTAATATATTTTCATGATGCTTCAAACGGAAGAGGCAACGTTTGCTAAATCCTTCGATTATTTCCTTTACAGTAAACAACTTTATATCCCGGTGGAGGGCATCGTTTCGCACATACAAAGGAGCCCCCACTATAAAATGCAGATTTTTTTTTTTTTTTGTTTTTTTGTTTTGTTTTTGTAAAGCTTAAATTCCTTTTAAAGTGAATTCGCTGCACTAAGACAGAATTGAATGGCATTTGTCCAGCTTGGCCTAAGTATTACCTTATAAAATAGCAACTATTTCCTCAGACTGAGACGGAATTTTGGCCTAAGGAAACAGTATAGATGCGCATATTTTAATCTTAGCTAAGTTCCTTTTACTTATGACGTGATCTTTACAAATGCGCTTATCAATTGTAATCGCCAATACAATATTTTGTCCATGTGTTTGTTGGTAACAACTGGTCATATACTACTTATGTGGACTTTTCTGGTTGATGGCAATGTTTCATTTTGTGAGTCAATAAAATCTACTTAGCCGTTTGATTTCCCTTGCCATCAGTTAAGTGCGATTTCGTAAATTGTAAGCTCCTAAGTATTTACGTCTAGATCTCGCGAAGACAATAAAATCAAGAAGCAAATTTTGGCACCTAATAAGATTGTAAACCTCACAATATGGGCGTCATTAGGTCATTAAGCTAAACAACTTAGGTTAGGCTATCCTTACTGCCGGCAAAAAGCTTACTTTACTCTTTGTCTTTGCCGTGATGTCAAAAAGATTTTGCGACAGCGTACATACTAATGGCAGCCCAGCGCTGGTCAAGCTTCCGCCAACCCTATACTTGTTATAGACACCAACCAACTTTTTCTGCAGAAAGTACTGCTCCAAGATGTAACTTCAACATTTTTAATTGCTTACTATCAGCAAGCTCTGACAACAGGAAATTTCCAAATAAAATTGCAATAAAACTATATATTATATACTCACAGAATATCCAGAGGCAATTTCACCGAACAATCACGCAGCAATGATGTTTGTTGTCGCTGTTCCTGTTGATGCTGTTGTTGTTGTTGATTTGACTGGTGATTTTCGTGTTGATATGCTGAATGCGATGCGGACTGATGCGTAAACTGTTGTTGCTGTTGTTGTTGGTATTGATAATGTTGTTGTGGTTGTTGTTGTGACTGCTCTTGCTGATACTGGAACTGGTAACGTTGTTGTGTACTATGATATTGTTGTTGTGGATGTTGTAACAGATGTTGTTGCTGTTCGCGATATTCATCCGTATCATTATTGTTATTGTTGTTATTTGTCGCGCCACTACTTGCGCGTCGTTTAGCGGCGGTCATCAGTGGGAGAGAGAGTGGCGCTTAACTTTTGGTGGGAGAGGAAGGCAGTAAATTAACGATATAAGATTAAAGTAAGCAGCGTTGCTCTTGGCCGATATTAAGGGTGAGCGAAGTAGCAGCAAATCAGCCGTGACAGGTGAGAAACTTTTCGTCGCAGCGAGAATTTAATATAATCTTATGGAAGGTATGGACTGAAGAAGCAAATAAAATATTTAATTAACTGCACACGTAATTGCGGTGTGGGTGTGGCTCTAATAAAAGTTGTTAAGCTGGATGTTTTTTCTCTTCGAGTACGCGTGTAATTTGTCGGTAGTTTTTGCTACTTTTCTTGGTATGCGTGGTTTTGTGGAATTCAATTTAATATCAATTTGAGTGTTTTTTCTTCCAACATAGAACTTCGAGTTTTTCAGTTTTGTAATTATCTTACAATTAATTTGGTTATCTCTTTTGTAGCTTTTGAGCTTTTTCGTTTCATTAACTGTTTTTTTTTTACCACAATTGAGTTGTTCGTCGAAGGTTTTCAAAAAAGCTTTAAATTTTGCGCGGTTTCTTCATGTAATGTTGTTTTGTACATCATATTTATAGCTTAATACACACAGCAGCTAATATGCTTTTGTGTTATATTTTCTTTCACAAAATGTATTTTGTTTCATTCTCTTAAAGCTTTTTGCTTGAGCACTGCTTAGTTATCCCAAACGCCTCAAATTACAGAGCTTTCACTTCAAAAATATTTGTTGGTTCGTAAGCATAGCTTGGTGTATTCTAACGTGCTTTGATCGATTTTTGAGCTTTTGGAGCTTTCACAAGCTTTCATGAATTTTGTCACTTTTAGTTACTTACACACTTTGTGCCAGAAATAATTGCATTTTTAGTGTTGATTATATAGAGAAGGCTTTCAGTACAGTTTTAAAAGCTTTTTGAACCTTCACTAAAGTTTCTTTTAAACCTTCATGGATATTTAAACTGCATTAATTTTTACATAAAGCTTGCAGATTACTCTCTGATGCTTTCATATAAGCCCAATTGGCTTCTATTCGCTTTCTGATTTTACTAAAGAGCTTTCGTCGAGTTTTAAGTTTCGTTGAGCTCTTCAAGCTTTCAAAATTGTTCAAACATTCAGTTAATGAAACACTTTGTACCAGAAGTAATTGCAAATTTAGTGATGATCATATACAGAAAGCTTGCATGCACTTTTAAAGTGCATTAATTTTAACTTTAAGCTTGCAGATTGACATACTTTGACAGCCAACTACTTGATTTTATAGAATATTCTATTCTAAGCATTCAAACAATTATTAATACCGCAAATAATTTTCAAACGCTGTTGCAGTTGCAGCTGCTGTCGTTGCGGTTATTGTTGCTGCGCGCTGCACCAATTGAATGGCATCACTTTACACCGGAACTTAAGTGGCCGTTTAATTTCCGTCAACTATTTCCGCTTTGCAGCAAATTGCATTAATGACAGCACATTTCAGCCGCATACAGACGACACAACAATAGACGATCGCTGAATAGCACACGCTTGCTAACAACGAGAGCACGAGCTCAACAACACACATGTGCTAATGAACGGCTAAATAGCCACATATGTGCTATATATGCATGTATGTGTGTGTTTCTAAGTATGTGTGCTCGCTATGGATGCGCTGAGCGCAATGAAGCGCAAGATTTTTGTGCTTTGTCTTTGGCAAAATATTGTGGTCTGCTTGTTGTGCTACTTGCAGTATTTAGAATTGTTGCTGTTGTTGTTGTTTTTGTTCAGGCGCTATTCAAACGACTACTTAGTTGCTGCGCCACTTGACGTCAATCGGGTGAGCAATTTTGCTTGCTTATTGCCTTAGCGGCTGGGCGCTGTACTAACGTTAATCGCTTTTGTTGTGATGTTAGTCGAGGTTATTGTTGTTATGTTTGCTATTGCAGTGCTGCTTGCCATGTAAAGTCAGGGTAGCGGATAATTAGATTTAGCGCGCTTTGCTGTTATGCCTTCGACATGACTCTATACACACTGCAGGCTTGTATGAAGTTGCTGTATTAAGCACACAGACACACACATGTGCACAAACACACCAAGTAGCAGTTATTGAAGCGAAAATCTCCGTATATTGTTTTATCGCTCTACTAAAGCATCAATGCGATTGTTGGCGGCGTCATTGTATAGTGTACATATAACGGTTGTTTTCATATCCTGTTGTTTCCTTATCACTATTATTGTTGTAATATTGCTGTCTTAGCATATATAACGTCTAATACATCGGAACGTTGTACTCACAGTGCTTCTGCTTGGCCACCGTGCCACTTGTTTTAGCTTCAGCTGACTGCCGTTGCCACTCTGCGGTTCTTCGCGGTTCTCTGACACTGCTGTTGTCTCCTCTTTGCTGGCGCCTTTATTAATTATGATACGGTTTGGCGCTTTATTTGCTATATTTCTTAGTCGATTTATTGCCTTGGCTGCCACGGCTGTTGCTGCGCGCGGCTCAAATGCGCTTGCCGTCAACACTTGTTGTCACTTTGTTGTTTTTATTGCTGTTTTCGCCGTTGTTTTTATTGCGCTTTGCCGCGTTTTCATTATTACTCATTTTATTATTATTGCAACAATTCTATTTGTCGCGCTCAACATTAACTTTATATTGCGATTGTGTTGCATGCAGTCACCTCTGCCAGCGCCTGCTGCTCGTATTAATTTGCTGCACGCTCGCTCTCCTCCCTTGCGCGGCAAGTTGTTCGTTTCATTTGCATTCAATTAGAATTCCGTTGGTTCTTTTCTCTGACGTTCAAATGCCTTTGTTTGCTTTGTTAGCGTTGTAATAGTTGTTGCTATTGTTTCAGCGCTGTTGTTGTGCATTATTATGCGCTGCAGCAAAGGCATAAAGTTTTATTCGCTCGCACACACAAACAAATATACATTTGCCGTTATGTTTTCTATATGTTTGTTTGCTTGAACATAAATGGTTGTTGTCGTTGTTGTTGCTAGCGCTGCAATTGCTTGCAATTCTTGGTGTTGTTTTTTGTACTTTGTCGAGCAGGCAAAACAAAAAATTAATAATATTTTCAGTTGAGGTTCCTCATCAAAGTGATGGCAGGAGCATTTAATTTAGTTATTACTTTTTTCGCCTTTCAATTTGCTTTGTAGATATGTTTGCTGGTTCCTTTTAAAGTTAAATGTTTTTTTTTTTTTTTTTTTTTTTTTTTTTTTTTTTTTTTTTTTTTTTTTTTTTTTTTTTTTTTTTTTTTTTTTTTTTGCTAATAAAAATATTACAACTTCTGATTTTTTACTCTACTGTTTTCCCCTTATTAAATTGTTTTCTTTTATAATTTTTTTATTCGATTCTATTAACCTATTTTCCGCTTATTGTGGCACTGTTGATATGTTTGGTTGCATTTGTTTTTGCTTTTTTTTACTACATTAATTTGCTTTGTATTGTTTTTATTTCGTAAAATCAATAAAGTTCGTTTGTGTTAAATTTGCTGCTTTGGCATTTAGTTTAACTGTAATTAAGAAGAGTTAAAATAGAAATTAATTTAGTGGAAAATATTGATTTTTGTAAAAATTGTAATAAAACCTCAGTGCGTGTCGATGAACAAATAAAACCACGCATTAGAAGGAATACAAAATATTTTTGCACTGCAATGCTTTTCACATAAAGAATGAATTATTGTAATTGTTTTAAGCAACTACAGAGCAAGTAAATATAACACCGCTCATGTGACAGCCTAAGGAATACGATCTATAATAATTAAATTAAAATTACTTTCTGTAATGTTTTATTCAATGCTCACATCTCAAGCAATACGTTCTCTGTGAGGATATTTTCCGGATGCTGCAAGATGATTGCGCGACCTTTGTCGACCATCTGATTAAAAGGCACATGACCTGGACAATGAATTTGTTCAAACCTTTCAAGTCCCGGGACCGGATGGCATCATAGTAACGCAGCTGCAGCAGGCTACTAAGCTGTCGTGCAACTGGTTTGCACCTATCTATGCGAACTGTATAAGACGGAGGTACATGTCGGCGTCCTGGAGACGAGTAACAGCTACGTTAGTCACAAAGGCTACGGCCAAGCACTTCATTGCCACCAGACTCTCCTCCCTCTTAAACATTTTTTGCAGAAATTGATGAGCTGGTACATAAGAAGGCGCTCTGCATGCACATCGCAAAGGCAGGTCAGTGGATATTTTCCTGCATACCATCGTGTCATGCCTTGAGGAAGCCATTAGTGTTAAAGTCTTCCCTGTTTGCACCTTGTTTGGTACTGAAGGAGCTTCCAATAACGTCCCGAATGTCCTTGAGGTTGAATTAAACCTCAAATAGACGAAATGTGAGCAAGGGAGCCACACAAGGTGAAGTTCCATCTCCTCTTCTATGGGCCCTGATCGTTAAGGACCTGTTTAAAAAATATCGGAGCTGACGGATTGACTAAGCAGACGATATATAGTTACAATAAAGTCCCTGAGCACCATGTACGAGTTGACGCAAGAGTATCTCAGCGTCGTAACAAATTACGAAGTCTGAAGTGGTCTCGCCATCAACGCAAATAAAACCGGCGAGTGCAGTGAAATATCTAAGCTCATCGGTAGATATCGTGGGAATATATTTGGCTGCGAAAGTTGCTCTCCGACTTAGAGAATGAGGGTTCCTAAAAGAACACTCGGAAATCTTCATATGCTTTGTGAGTATTAAACAGGATCACTTGAATCATGAAGTCGCACAACCGAACTCTGGAGGCTTCTTCTCTGCCCATATACCGACAAGGGAATTATGGGTGGGAAGAATCCGTTTGAGGATAGAGGCAGTGCTTTACTGTCAGCAGCTCCCTGTCAACACCAGATTCAGGCTTGCTGACTATTGCAGCGTTTTTCAAGCCGATGTTGCAGCCATTAAGGTAGCAGTATATTTACTCTTGCCGAGTACAGTCTCCTTCACGAAGTGACCATCCATTCAGATATCAGGGCGGCAATTCTAGCCATGAATTCATTAACAATGCATTCAGGATTGATCAAGATCACCCTAGAACCGTTATCAGTAGAATGGGAGTGCTCCCATATCCTTTTGTGTTCTACAACTAGATAGCTGGGCTTTGCGATAGCTGGGCCAGAGTTGGGCCATTGCTACATGCACTGTCACAAAAGCGGAAATTAAATGCCTGTGCAAATTTGTATTGGCTACTAAGTGTTTTGCTAATTTATAAGTTCAAACACAGGAGTTTTCTTTTTTAAGGCTTTACAAATGAATACATATAGTAGTCCTCTGACCTAACCTAATACATATTTTATAGCTTTAAGGTTATAGTCGTTTTAAGAATACAATATTTT